GTAAATCATTGTTTTTTAATAACGATTTGTAATAACTGTTATTGTGAATTGTATTGTTGTGTATATATATTAAAAGGTATTTGTGTTAAAAAAAGGAAACTTTGTGTATCAATCTTGTTAGCACATATCATAAACTGACTATATATCGGCTTTTGCTTAACTACGAAATCCAAAGAACAATTCAACTACTAAATTTAAATTATCAGTTAACTCAATTTCAGACTATTTGAAATTCTAATACGTAACAACCGTAGATCCTATATTGAATTATTAATAAATGTTTTTTTGGGGGGGGTAGATAGATAAACAAACCAAACTTTTTATCGTATTTCATATTTGAAGAGATTTCCATACATGAAACGGTGGTTTTATAAGTATGTTCACAACTTGTTAGTATACTGATGATATTTGAAATGAAATGTCGATAACTGACGGTTGTCATGTAGAAAACTTTGTTCAGGATATTCGCACGAGGTAGCTACAGTAATTGAAGATTTTGTGGCATCTTTGAATAAGAGAAAACACGCTAGACCCCTTTACATAAGTTTAGGGTTTGGTCTCTTGTTTTTGAAAACTCAATGAAACTCATAAGATATTATTTTGGTGTTGAAAAAAGTCTTCCCTAAGCAACGCTAATTTTGTTCAGGTCCATTCCATTCTGACCTTGATTTGCGCTGTAAGAATGGTTTTTAATATGTTTAAAACATCCAGGAAACACTGAAACACTACGTACATAGTAGTGGAAGTAACAATAAATGTTATTCATGTATTGATATCACTTTCGTTAGTTTAGGTTGATAACTTACTAAACAGTCTAAGACAATATAAGGGGTTACAATGAACAATGCACCTTATTCTAACAATTTCTTCTACTTCGTAATTTTCTTGTCATCTTTTGATTGACTATAACATCTTCGGATGATCTCTTTTCCTGATTCCTTTAACATCATTAGGAACCTCAACATGACTACATCCACAACGCATGCAAACATCTGAGCTTCTAACTTTGCACTTGCTACTAAGACTAGCATAAAGACTTTCTGACATTATCTTAATGTATTGTTACGCCTCTGATCGTTTGTTAATTTTCCGTAAAAATTCTTTCCGAAGAAACTTTAGCGATACAAATCCTTTCTTAAATAACACTGGTTTATTCTTTCTAAATACAACTTTGCAATACACTTAATTTCCACAGTTACGCTATAATAAACGCTATAATTCACAAAGAAAGTCTCACTTGCTCAACAATACGTCTCTCTCTGTCCGCTGTTCAATTACCCATTGTTGCCGTCACGTCTAGACCTTATATGTACAAGAATACCGAAATCTAGTAACCTCCCGAGGCTTCAGGAACGTTCTAGAAGCGCGTGACGTGTTACTAGAGTCACGTGACCTCCGCTGTCGTAACAGTATATTGACTAGTTTATATCTTCTATACGTAAATTACCTTATCAAAGACAATGGTCTTCCATATATATCTCGAACAATTGGGATGGAGGACTCTTTTATAAATTATTGTTTGTTTAAATTTCGCGTAAAGCTGCTCGAGGGCAATCTGGCTAGCTGTCTTTAATTTTGAAGTCACAGGATAGAGGGAAGGCAGTTAATCAACACCATCCACAACCGACTCGTGGGCTATTCTAATTTAAATAGCAAGGTAGCAATGAGACTAAGAATGCTATAACGGGATCTTTATTCTCTCAACGTTTCGACTACAAGTCTTCTTCAGGAGAGTGTAACACCGTATTATTATTATTATTATCAAGGTAGGTACTTTGGTTTAAAACCAGTGGTGGTCAGAAATTTGTATTTCTCTTCGCTCCACTCTGAGCTTATTGATTTCCAGATTATTTTTGAATTTACATGAAATTGTTTTAACAGCTGTTTGAAAGTGACTATTTGAAAGTTTTGTCCCAGAACCTTAATATTAGTAGTAGTAATGGGGGTGGTAGAAAAACAATCCTAAAGATATTGAAAACTTAAATGGGTTTACTTCCCCAGAATCTTTAAAATTAATAAGACATTCGGAAGCTCACTTGTAAATTTTTTATAGTCCGATAGGCCTGCTATCTATAAACAAATTTTATTACTAGCTTCTTCTGACAAAGAGTAAAAAGCGCGTAAGCTGTTTGTCAGATAACACTTTACTTTAAAAATTAACGTAATGAAACTCATAGTCAGCTGAAAACAAATGCATTATCATTGTAACGAAATCAGAAAACTCGACATTCAGGATAATAAATCGATGAAATGTAAGAGGGTCAAAATGTTAACCAGATCTCACAGACATTTTAAAATCTGATATTCAAGCTTTTTCATACAATTCTTGTACCTTGAAAACTTGACAATTTATAAACATCAAAGGCTATATGAACTAAATTTTACAATAAAACTTAAAAGCCATTCCAGTAAAACCGTCGAATCTCAAAGTATTCGTAAAAATAAGATTTTAGATAGAATGTCCCTCCTTCCGCTGTGGCTTAGTGGTAAGCTTTAGTATGGGGTTTGGAGTCTAGAAATCAGGTTTTGATACCAATTTGGAGCACAGTGCAGATAACCACTGTGTAACTTTTCACTAAAAACAAACAAGGTAGGACAACCATAAAACAACTTCATTGCCATCTACAGGAGAACACTTGCTCAGCCATATAGATATAAGAAGAATCTTACAAAAAAAGTTCCAATACACTCGTATATAACCTGGACCTAAACCTCTCTGCTGAGAAAATAAAGAAACATGTTGCAATATCACTATCTAGTATCATTTACAAATAAAAAGAAAAACCATCTTTTCAGAATTATACGAATTACAAAGAATGTTTTATGAAAAAAGGAGGCGTATGTCAAACATAGAGTTCACATTTATACTTACGTTGTCTGAGAAATAGCAGCTAATGTATATGAGATTTTTTTTGGTAAAGAAAGTTTATTTTTATAAAATTTTTCATAAAAAATGTTAACTTATTTTTTTCGTTTCAATGATAAATGCTAAACGATATAGAGCGATATTATTAACAGAATGCCACGAATAGAATGACATCAAAAGGTATCTTTATTGACATTCATTAGCCGCCGTATCTGAATATATCATGATCAATAATCAGTAATAGCAGGTTTTTAAAATGTCGAAACAGTGGAAGGTAAACCCTGATCTGGATTTGAAGTGGAACTAAATTATGTATGAAATTTATATTACTATTATATATTTGTGTGAGCACATGCATACATCTATATATATATGTACTATAATGTAAAACTACACCTAGATATCTTAACAATTCTTGCATATATACTGATAATGTCTCGCATAACGTAGCTTATCGATTTTACCACATTATTCAAACTGAGAAACGATCAGTAGTTACTTGTTTCTAACATTACCTGAAGTGAGCCTGAAGTCGAAACATCGTGATAGTGAAGACAGAATTAATTGTTTCGGAGTATGTGTGCATATCAGATTAGTAGCTAGTGTTATTAATACAAGACATTCTCTTACGATCAAATGAGCTGTAGTGTACGTTCACGCGGCAAAATCTTCTCAAAATCGATATTAACTTCTCTGTGAACACTTTCTCTCTCTTGCTTTCAGAGTGGTGTGAATATCTCGAACCGTATTCGCTAATTATTTATGACGTAAAAGAGTACTAAGCCGCACATTCCGAAAAACACTTGTCATCACGTGGCAATAAAAAAGTATGAAAATTAGACGATCAAGGTAATATTATTTCATTCATCAAGAAGATCTACTTTGCACCTCATTCATCGCTACTAGAAGTTGTGTTTGTTCAGAAAAACCACAGCGTGAGAAAGGTGACTGATATAAACAAATTGGTATGTACGTTTGTTATCGTTTAGTTGTACAGGTAGATAATAAACAATAGGAAAATAAAACACTGTAGTAATATTAGGTTTGACAGACTTTAGTTTTTCATTCAAGAAAATATTTTGGAAAACACACATAGTTTGAGAAGCAGTTCCTTTATATTTGTCCCCAGTGGCACAGCGGTATGTCTGCGGACTTATATCGCTAGAAACCGGATTTCGATACCCGTGGTGGGCAGAACACAGATAGCCCTTTGTATAGCTTTGTGCTTAACTACAAACAAACAAACATTTCTTTAAGAATTTTCCAAAAGTTTCACATATACATGCTTCTAGCGCTGAGAATTTATTTCTGACCATATAATGTAGGCCAAGGAATGAGGCAAAGTTTCTTTTGCTTTGGGTATCATGCGCACTTTCTCGTGGGAGAAAATGCTGTAAAGTGGAATACACTTGATAACACAGCCTCGCATATATCTCTATGAGAATAACCATCAGTAAAGTGGAATACACTTGAAGACACAGCCTCGCTTATATCTCTATGAGAATAACCATCAGTAAAGTGGAATACACTTGAAGACACAGCCTCGCTTATATCTCTATGAGAGTAACCACCAGTAAAGTGGAATACACTTGAAGACACAGCCTCGCTTATATCTCTATGAGAGTAACCACCAGTAAAGTGGAATACACTTGAAGACACAGCCTCACTTATATCTCTATGAGAATAATCACCAGTAAAGTGGAGAGCGCATATTTTCTGAGATGGATGGCATTATAAAATCTTCTATAAAATGCTACATTATCTCAATCTGAAACAGTTTTAGAAACATGTCTTCCAGGTTGATTCAACCATTAGACTGAAGCGCTGTACTTTGTCAGTGTATAATACTTTGATTGTGTCGCGAAAAAAAAATTGAACCCACTTTTTTAAATGTTGTTCTGTCTCGCTTAAACACTGCCAAAGTCAGAATTCAGATTCGCGATACTCTTCCTGATCGAACTTTGTGTTGTTATCTACGGGAACTACCTGAAATATGTATTTAAGGATATCACAAGGCAAGAAGCGCCTTTTAGCTATAGAACAATTGTATAAATAGACAGTTAAATATTTACAAATAAAGGAAAAATAAAATCATGATGCAGTTGTTTTAAGATAAGTGCTTTTAGTGTATATGCTTTTTCAGCCTCAAAAATTCCTTAAGAAAAAACTCAGTAGTTTCACGAGTTCTATCTTAAGCTGTTTTACAGGGTATTGATACGAAACAATTTCCCACATCAGTGGCGTCTTCTTTGTTTTCCGGCATATAAAAAGTGAGTTTGAGTTGTTACTTGAGTGAATCTGTACCTTGATTTCTGTTCCGTTGATTTTGGAAAATACATTGTCTTGGTTTCTCTTAATTTGTTCCTGTATTCTGTAAGATTGAAACAGGATTGCTTTGATTGCTTTTAATCTGATATCGTTTAATTTAACACTGAAACGGCTTTGCCTTGATTTGTCTTAACCCGTTCCTGTTTGTTTTGATATGGAAATAGCATTACTTTCATTTTTCCTAGCCCATTCTGCAGACTGTGTTTGTTTTAATCGACACTACTCATTTTATTTTTTAAAGCCTTTCCACTGATTTTTTGTTTCATTATTGCAACAGCAATGTTTTGATTTCCCCAATTTTGTTCCAATAATTTTGTTTATTTTAGCATAGGTACAGCACTGTCTTAAATTATCTGATCCTTTTCTCATGATTTTACTTGTTTTATCATGATGACGGCCTTGTCTTCATTTCTCTTCTTGTCTCACTGTGTTTGCTTAAACTTTTAACATTGTACAAGTAAATACTTGGTTTACCTAAACATTGACTGTTCTTGTCTGAATATTGCAACAAAAATTTATTGATTTCTCCAAACCCGTTCTCCTGATTTTGTTTTGATTAATGGCAAAAGCATCTTTATTTTTTAAACCTCTTTTTCCAGATTTTATCTGTCTTATAGCGTCGACAACATTGTGTTCATTTTAGAATGAAGATAGCATTGTTTCATTGCTCTAATTTTAATACCCTGATTTTGTTGCTTTAACTAGAAAACAGCATAGTCTTGATATGCTTCTAAGTTTTTATCCAAATTTTGTTTTACATGGTTACTCTAGATTTTCTTTTGTTTCAGTGTGGTTACAATAATGAATTAATTCCCCAAGTATTTCCACACGTATTTTCTATTTTAACCGGTGTGACAAACAGTATTATTTTCTCAAAACATTCTTCTCTGACAATAATGGCTGGAGACGGCTTGAATGGGTAATGAAGAAAAACTTTAATATAAGTTTAACATAACAGCAAATGTACAACGTTTCGACAAGGTTTTGTCAT